TTGAGGTCGGACGCCATGTCCACAAGACCAAAGTTTGACAAGGGAGGATGCTCTCTGTGAGAGGCATGGTTCCACGATTCCAATTTTATATATATTGTTTGAACATGAATAGTATTTGTAATAATTGTGTCCGATATGGCTGAAATACTGCCGCTGTGACTATAAATTGTACTTTCAGTGAAGGGAATTTAAACATTCATTCATTATATTTTATTGGAGCGGTCGGTTGCATGTGGGAAAGTTGGTTGTTGCTAACAGGACAGTACCTATATCAGGACGTGAATCGACAGTGCAAATAATATTATCAGACATACATAAGGTTTATCCGCGGTATATAATCTGAAAGCAAACATTCAGTTTACCTTGTGTCTATATTACTGGCTGAAACAGACCGAACAGACGACAGTACACACGCGGCATTTACAATCTTCAAAGACTGTCCATTGAAATGTTAACTCACATAATATTCTTATTATACAATTTAAATCTGCAACAATGTTTAACATTTAACGTCGAATTTAAGAGGTTTTACTGTATTGTCATGTGTAAACACCTTTAAAAATGCAATAGTTTTTATCTTACCACAATTTGTGATAATAAAGTGAGTGAGTGAATGAGCGAGTTTAGTTTTACGCTGCTTTTAGCAATACCACGGCGGGGGACACCAGAAATAGACTTCACACATTGTACCCATGTGGGGAATCGAACCCTCGTCTTCACCGTGAACGCTTTAACCATTAGGCTTCACAACCGAACATTGTTTTTTTTAAAGGATCTTAAAATGATTACCTGTAAAGGTTTGTTTTTTCAGGGTATCTACACGTAGAAACTGTTCTGCTCTGGTAGATATGTTCATCTCTGCATTCGCCTTCCAACCTGCGTGTAATGTAAGTTACAGTCGCTATGATGACTTCATCAAAGCAGCCAATATTGACGTTCCTCCCGGCCAGGTACGTTGGTTAGTATACAACTAACACAGCTCAAAACACAGCTCTTCACCAAAATTCCAATTTTTATGCTTTTTAGAAGTTTGCTTTTACCTTTGAAATACGTTATAAACACATACATGAACGTATACGTATGTGTTCATGTTACGTTGTTGCAATCTTAGTGCCAAGCTGATACTCAATATCAGGGTCAGTCATGTATCTAGATTCACATCACGTCGAGGAAGGTTGTACCCAATGAATTAGGTAGTCAGCCATACGCTAATACATATAAACCGTGTCAACTCATGGGCAATATACTGCGGTCTTCTCAGATTGAGTGCCGATCCTGTGAAAATGGGGGTTAGAATTCTTCAGCAACCCATGCTGGTCTGTGAGGTGATTTACTGGATCGGGTGGTCAGGCTCGCTGACTTGGTTGACGCATAATATTGGTAAAAATACTTTAGTTTAGATACGGCTTTGGATTTGTTTGACTATCCCAAACCCTGGGCGACGTTAATGCATTTATCAAACTCTTTCGTACCAGGGCTATCGATATCTTTAAACAAGACTGGCATTCATCTTTATATGAAAGTTCAAGATATGATTGTTATCGTGAGTTTAAATCTTTACTTGAACCTGAGTCGTATCTATACAACTTACGTAGTAAAAAGCTTCGTAATGTTTTCATACGCCTGAGACTTAGCCTAAATGATTAATATATCAATCAAGGAAGATATTCATCTATTATAAAATCACAAAGGTTCTGTCATACCTTTGTAATACTGTAGAGAATGAATTACACTTTCTATTTCTTTGTCCTGCATATAATGATTTAAGGCAACTGTGTTTTCCACAATGGCTACAATCAAATATTAATGCTACAAAATTGTATTCAATACTTTCATGTAAAGCATCCCTATTACAATATAAGATAGCTCTATTTATTTATCACGCGCTTATATTGAGAAGAGATTCAATGTAACGTGTGTGTCGCATGTTGTATATGTTGTACCTATCATACATATTTATTTAGTATATGGGCCTCTGGCCTTCATGCAATGAACTGATTGATTGATTGATTGCTTAAACATGTCAACGTATTCCAGTTGCGTGTATAGCGAAAAATGTCGATCACTGGATTGTCTGGTCCAGACTCAATTATTTACAGACCGCCGCCATATAGCTGAAATATTGCGTTAAGCCACAAAGAAAGAAAAAAGCCAGTGTGGCCAAGTCACCACAGAGGTAATGCAAACAGAACTCCTTGGCTCCTTTTTAACAGTGAGTGAGTGTAGTTTTACACCGCTTTTAGCAATATTCCAGCAATATCACGGCTGGGGACACCAGAAATGGGCTTCACACATTGTACCCATGTGGGGAATCGAACCCGGGTCTTCGGCGTGAAGAGCGAATGCTTTAACCACTGGGCTACCCCACCACCCCTCCTTTTTAACATATTTTATTGAGGTAATTTAACAATTTAAAAATATATGTTCTCATTTCACACACTAGATGTTATTCGATCCTTTCGATGCAAATACTAAATCACATGGACGGTCTCGGTGTATGATTAGTTGCATTCACACCATACATAAATAGGACGTCCGTTGGAGCCTTCAAGAGCCAATGATATCGTTTTTCACACATGTACAAATAGTGTGACCCCGGCGAATATATAGCATAGAGATTGAAATAAGTTAATACATTGTCCTCACATCAGAGTAAAGGCTGACATGTTCTCAAATGAAATGCAAATAGAGTCGTGTCACCTCGAAATTAATACCCAGATTTACCACCTGTTAGTATATTGAACACGCGGTGAACACGGTTTAGGACAGTGGGTTGTTAGAGTGCTCACACTTGTCTAATTGAACTCATACATAATGTTATGCCGGGCGGATCAGGGATAGGGCACGGTTATGTTGATGATAGGAGTGAGTGAGTGAGTTGGGTTTTAAGCCGCTTTTAGCAATATTCCAGCAATATCACGGGGACACCAGAAATGGGCTTCACACATTGTACCCATGTGGGGAATCGAACTCGGGTCTTCGGCGGGACGAGCGAACGCTTTAACCACCAGGCTACCCCACCGTCCCTCTTGATAATAGGAATACATGATACACTTGAAGATACATGATACACTTGAAGAGCAAACTCTTTTTCCGGTGAACGTGTTACAACGTATCAGTGTACGCTATTGGGGTTCAACGTTTGGTTCACACACATATATGTATCTATCAGTCTGTCTGTCCGTCTGTCAGTTATGTGTGATTATTGTGTCTGTTCAACAGTAACTTCCACTCACTGTTTGTTTGTTCTTTGATGCCACACTCTATTCTATATGGCGGCGGTCTGTAAATAATCGAGTCTGGTGGATCAGACAACCCAGTCATCAACAGCATGAGCATCCATCTAGGCAAATGGGGCACGATGACACCCGACCACCCGATCCCGTTAGTCGCCTCTTACGACACGCATGGGTTACTGAAGATCAATTCGAACCCGGATCTTCACGGGTTCACTCGCTGAATCACACATTTACACACACAACGTTTTACTCGATAGTTCCTGTTTCAGAGCATGTTCTGGTCTGGTGTGTACGGTGTCGTACAGATGTACAGCCACCGTGGACAGAGAGCAACAGTGCTTGAAGATACACTCATAGGTAACTATACACGCATCTTTGTGTTGTTATTAGAGATATATTGCATTAAGAAAGGAATTGTTCCAAACACAAACTCAGCGGGTTCAGTAAAGCGACCGAGTAAGTATAAAGTTAAAACTAGTGAGTAAGTAATTTGGATTTAACGTCCCTTTCAGCAGTATTCCAGCAATATCAAGGCGGGGACACCAATAAGGGTTTCACACATTGTAAACAGGTGGAGAAACATGTGGAGGTCTACGGGGCACAATAGGCTACCTAACTCATCTACTAGGCTACCCTACCGCCCCTATACTGATAAAGGGTTGGTTATACGAGGGACAGTCAAAAAGTAGTGAGCCTGACCAAGTAAATGATACAAATGCAGCTGTTTTTATGTTTTATTTTTCTACATATTATCTGTCAACCTCAAGCAAATTGGTTTTGCTACGTTCCAGCCTTACGATCCCCATTTTGTTTGAAATTGTATCTTAGTACCCCCCAATAGCGCAAAATCTGCAATAAATGCACCACAAACTTCAGGTAACAAAATATGCAAGAAACATTTTGTGTGTTTGAGATAGGTAGACGTCCGCTAGAATCAAACTTAGATATTAAAGTGGATAAAAAAGCAATTTGAAAGTACAATTGCTTGTTAAAGTGATTCCCCTTTCATGTTTACTGAAACAGCTTGTTTTGGAGACACTACCCACCCCCGCTCAGATGATGAATTCATCAGGACATAACTTATTCTAATGTTTTCACTTATGATGCTAAAGGTTCAAAGTAAATACTGAATGGTCACACAAGTGTCAACTCTCAGTATATTGTAAAGAGGGCCAGCTTGAATATCTGGACACAATGTTTTTGAAAGACTAAAATGGGTGTGTCCTTAAAAAAACAGCCCTATCTAAACATAAATCAAGCAATCCAAATCTTTGCATGTTGATTATGACGGGAAGTCATCCAATACTATACTAACATATTTTATATGACATTATCTGAGGGCATACCATTATCCAAGAGGTACTAAATGACGGATCGTTTTTCATTTTCTGCATTTTTTCTAGAAATATTATACCCCAATGTGTTGTGATGACTAATATCCCACATATGTGAATTTTTTTATACGACTTTGCTAATGATTCCTACAAACTAAAATGGAAGCTTTCCAAACATTGGACATCGAGAATAAAGTTAGGCTACGTACTTTTTGACCGACCCTCGTATGGTCTTTATACATAAATTTGAAAGCTGAATGTATGTTTCCATATTACCTAGCCTCTTGTATGTACTTTCTGCAATTTTCTGAAAGCGGTATGACAGTAGTGAAAAAAGCCTACTTAATTCACATACCGCCGCCATGTAGCTGGAACATTGATAAGTGCAGCGTTAAACAACAATGAAGGCAAAATACAACCCCAAAGGCATATGTGGTTGATGCATGGTGTCTTCAGTTGCAGGTTATATGGTTGAGGGACTCATGACAAAGAACAAAAGTAGAGTTTCTCCGTAAAATGTGTCATGTATTCGCATTGGAGGTTGTCTATGCATGTTTTCTCCCGTTGCAGGTTATATGGTGGACGGGTTACAGTTCTGTGCCCAGACCAATCAGCCTGGTATAACGTATGGTGAAGGCTGTCCTGGATTCGAACAGACTGACAACTGTACTTACAACGCAGAGTATTCCTTCTGGGCAATGGCGTCGAAAAATGTGTGTAAATTATCGTTTTATTCACTAACTAACGTTATATCAAGTAACATTTATTATAATTTAGACCCGTGAAGATTCGGGGTAGAATAGGTCTTCAGCAACCCATGTGCTTGCCATAAAAAGGCGACTATCTTGTCGTAAGAGGCGACTAACGGGATCGGGTGGTCAGCCTCGATGACTTGGTTGACACATGTCATCGGTTCCCAATTGCGCAGATCGATGCTCATGCTGTTGATCACTGGATTGTCTGGTCCAGACTCGATTATTTACAGACCGCCGCCATATAGCTGGAATATTGCTGAGTGCGGCGTAAAACTAAACTCACTCACTCACTCACTATTATAATTTAACTGAAGCATTTATACATGGCAAGCTTGTGATTTATAAGCATACCCAATGACATACGTATGCAAGTTGAGATATGCAAATTAGATAAAAAGTGGGACTTTTTCTGAGACGGCTGTTTCGATTCAAAAGCTAAGTTAAAATATCAGTGAAACATTACTAGAGCTAAATCCAAATGACACAGATTCGTTACTATGGTCATTTTTAGTGTCATTAATTCTGCTCAACTATTTCAAGTATACTTTTAAATCGTCCACGGAACATGTTGTGTACTTTGGTTGTCAAGGCAATGTAAAAGATGTAGCACTAGGCACGATATATGCGTAGGATTTCGACAAGTTTCTGATGTTAATTGTGATGCAATGTTTTCTTAAACGGGAAACACTGATGTGTAAAGGCCAAAGTGTCGGCTCCTACCGATTAACTAACCTTCAGCTGTTATCTCCTGTGTCAAGAATCGCTCTATATACACAATGCAATATAATGAGTTGATTCACCAGTTGAGAAAAACGGTATGTATACACAAGTGTTTATCTTACCTTACATGTAAAACACTGCAATTTGATTGGACAAAGCAGTTTTTACAAAAATCCGTGTACCCCGGTATCGAAGGGTATAACTGGAAAAAGTATACCCCGCTTCCCTGACAACAGCGTATATGCCTAACTCTGGTATAAATTACTTCTAACGGGGTTCGCATCGGTTAACACACAATTAGGAGTTTACAAGTAAACAAATAAGTGTTGCCGTAGTTACCTATAGAAACAATGGAAACATAGGTTAACACAATTAGGAGTTTACAAGAAAACAAATAAGAGTCTGCTGTAGTTACCTATAGAAACAATGGAAACATAGGTTAACACAATTAGGAGTTTACAAGAAAACAAATAAGAGTCTGCTGTAGTTACCTATAGAAACAAGGGAAACATAGGTTAACACAATTAGGAGTTTACAAGAAAACAAATAAGAGTCTGCTGTAGTTACCTATAGAAACAATGGAAACATAGGTTAACACAATTAGGAGTTTACAAGAAAACAAATAAGAGTCTGCTGTAGTTACCTATAGAAACAATGGAAACATAGGTTAACACAATTAGGAGTTTACAAGAAAACAAATAAGAGTCTGCTGTAGTTACCTATAGAAACAATGGAAACATAGGTTAACACAATTAGGAGTTTACAAGAAAACAAATAAGAGTCTGCTGTAGTTACCTATAGAAACAAGGGAAACATAGGTTAACACAATTAGGAGTTTACAAGAAAACAAATAAGAGTCTGCTGTAGTTACCTATAGAAACAATGGAAACATAGGTTTACACAATTAGGAGTTTACAAGAAAACAAATAAGAGTCTGCTGTAGTTACCTATAGAAACAAGGGAAACATAGGTTTACACAATTAGGAGTTTACAAGAAAACAAATAAGAGTCTGCTGTAGTTACCTATAGAAACAATGGAAACATAGGTTTACACAATTAGGAGTTTACAAGAAAACAAATAAGCTTCTGCTGTAGTTACCTATAGAAACAAGGGAAACATAGGTTTACACAATTAGGAGTTTACAAGTAAACAAATAAGAGTCTGCTGTAGTTACCTATAGAAACAATGGAAACATAGGTTTACACAATTAGGAGTTTACAAGTAAACAAATAAGAGTCTGCTGTAGTTACCTATAGAAACAAGGGAAACATAGGTTAACACAATTAGGAGTTTACAAGTAAACAAATAAGAGTCTGCTGTAGTTACCTATAGAAACAAGGGAAACATAGGTTAACACAATTAGGAGTTTACAAGTAAACACATAAGCGTCTGCTGTAGTTACCTATAGAAACAATGGTCACCAAACGCTTCGCCTCGCATTCAGCATTCAGAAGAAGATATATCAGCCAAACGTTCTCGAACCCGAAAACTTTTTAAAGAATATCTGGCAGAAAAGGAACAGGACGGCTTTAGCCGAAATGCTCAGTCATTTCTACATGGATATCAGAACTCAAACTGGTGACCAATACATGACATCAAATTTGGAGAATATTAGGCACAGTCTCAACAAATACTTGAAATATCCGCCATATAATAGACACTTTGGCATAATAAAGGATGGGCGATTCAACGATGCCAACGAATCTTTAAATCAGCTTGAGCTGAAGGCTGCTGGTAAGGGTGAGACAAAACACAAAGAAGTGATCTCTGATTCTGATCGAGTGAAACTTTATTCGTCTATGCACTTGAACACCCAGACACCATATGGATTGACTAACAAGGTCCAGTTTGACATCAGACATCAAACATGGAAAAAATGACGAAAACTACATTCGTAGTGAACACTGATTCTGATACTGGCCTCCGTTATATACAGAGAAATGCTGGAGGACTGACCAAAAAACACAGGGATGATAAGGAGTCATTTGGGGGATTGATGATGGAGCAGCCTAATTCACCTTTCTGCCCAGTGACATCGTTCGTTACCTACGTTGATAAGCTACATCCCGATTGCAATCGACTGTGGCAGTATCCGAAAGATTGTTTCTGCGACAGTGATTCTACCTAGTATAACAACAAGCCTGTCGGGAGGAATACACTAGCTTCCTTCATGTCTACCCCCAGCAAGTGTTGTGGTATGTCCCAGGTTTACACAAACCAATGTATCCGTGCCACTGGAGCCACGATCCTCACTCGCGGTAACTTTGCAAGTGCCCAAATCATGAGTGACAAGAGTGTAAGTTCCCTTGCCGTCTATCAGCAGGTATCAAACAAGGAAAAGATGCATGTGAGCCATGCTATTTCCAACGCTATGCATTCTTCTCCTCTCCCAAGTCTAACCCCACCGCCACCTCGACAAAGCCTAACGGCAGCGCCGTCAGTGAAATATGGGTCAACACCTGGGGAGACATGAGTTTTGCCTGCTGTCGAACCACGCCAGCTAGAAGGCAAGGAACTTGCAGAACTGAGAGAACTTGACCTTGATGACCTATTTTGCGATTTTGCGATCCTGAACCATCAACCCACCCTAAGGGTCACAAACCAAACATCAGTTTTTCAAAATTGCAACATTCAGAACGTAAATGTTATTGTGAGAAAATGACTTCCCCCTGTGACATGAGTTCGGCACATTCCTTCGCTTTATCGGCTGTTATGTCAGATGTTTTAGAGGTCACAAAGTACAAACCTTAGTGAGATGTTGTTTTCTGTGATTCTCTTGCAGTTCAATATTGCGAACTGTTATTGTTAATGCCTCACAGTTATAGTGACGTTGTTTCACCGAGTTATTGTTGTGACAGAATTAAAACAACATGTTTCATTTGAATTGCATAACTGTAGTTCTTGTACAGCATTGTGTTTATATACTATAAAACACAAGAGGCAGCCACGACGGTAAGATAAATTCGTTCCCTCGGGATATACGGTCTGGTGTACCCTCTGTGTTGCAGTGTACCCCGAGCCTGGTACGGCTGCAGCCTATTAACTAGCCTAGAGTGTAGGGGGTGTCTTCTGAAGGACCCCTTCTCAATAGTCAGATTTCAATGAAGATAATGCAACACTGTTTTCACTAGTTTTACAGTTTACGTCCCATGCCAATGGCTGTAGAATCACCTTCTTAATGGTCAGATTTCAATGCAGAAAATGGAACATTTCTTTCATTTCTTTTACAGTTTGCATCCCATGTCACTGGCGACGCACAGGTTATGCTGAATGCAAGCTTGGACCAGCCATTCCGCGATCTATCGTAGGTATATTTATACATAGTACATAGCTTTAGGGTAAGAACTATCTGAATATTCGCTGTACATGTGCTAAGAAGAACCTCTGCTACCATTCGCACCCTCATTTCTCCAAAATTCTGTGAGGATTAATTGCAAAATGCAAAAAGCTGGTTTAATGTTCAATACATCTTCTATGACCCTTAGAGTGGCTCGCTTGTCGTGGTTTGTGTTGTACGGATGCCTTACAATGCCGAGTTATCATCTTTCTTTGTTTTTTCCAGTTTCTTTTCAACCTGGGAAATACCGAATATGAACGCTAGCCAAATATCAAACGTCAATATTCTTATGGTTCATATACCAGGACAAGACATAAGGTTCGTTTGAAGGTGTTTCTCAGTAGTGTAATCTGTTGTCCTGCATACACGTTTTCAAGGACTGATGGTGGTAAGCACATGTATGAATAATGCATTTATACTTAACCATTATCACTGCGTCCCTCCCTATTATTAACCATTGCAGGTTTCACCGATGCAGCTCAATATTACACCACCCGTGAAGGTCCGGGTTAGAATGAACCTTCAGTAACCTATGCTTATCGTATGAGGCGACTAACAGGATCGGGTGGTCAGGCTCGCTGGTTTGGTTGACACATGTCATCGTATCTCAATTGCCTAGGTCGATGCTCATGCTGTTGATCACTGGATTGTCTGGTCCAGACTCGATTACTTACCGACCGCCGCCATATAGCTGGAATATTGCTGAGTGCGGCTTAAAACTAAACTCACTCACTCACTCAAAATTACACCAGACAATACTCTATACGATTCATATATAACGTCTATTAGCACTTTAGAGCTTGTTTGAAAACAGGATATCTATATTAATTGGTGAAAATAATTCTGTTTAAACCATGAATCCGAGTTGAAAATGGTCATCAGTAACCCATGCTTGTCGTAAGAAATGACTAACAGGATCAGGTGGTCAGACTCGCTGACTTGGTTGATGTAGGGGCATCTCATGATGTTCCATTACATTAGACCCGTGAAGGTACAGGGGTAGGATTGGTCTTCAGTAACCCATGCTTGTCGTAAGAAGCGACTCACAGGATCAGGTGCTCAGACTCGCTGACTTGGTTGATGATTGTTCTCGATTCCCGAATACCTAGGTGGATGGTCATCATGACAATAAATTGATTGTCTGCTTTCAGACTTAATGTTTGGCAGTGACGCAAAACGGGCAAATTATTTCTGAGTGCGGTTTTATACAATGAATGTACCACAAGAATAATAATGGGCAAATGGCATACACAAATATGCTAAATAGGAAAATATTTACTAATGCCGATTCCATCGTGACCAAGAAGGTTCTCCATGTTTCCTTTTCCTGTAAAATAGGGGCTGCAGAGAAGCATGATATGATGGAAAACCTAGAAACACATCTTGTGATATACATGTATCTGGGTTAATTAATTATCCTCTGTTTGTTGTAGATCAACCTGTAACAGTGACAGTATCTCTCAGCTGAAAAAGCGACTGAGGGCTAGAGACATTACATCTTCCTGTGAGGACAGTCCTAGGTAATTTTGTATAGGACATTCAGTTTCAAGTGTGAATTCCATTCCAGCCTATATTTGAAATGATATTCAAGTTCCTTGAATGTTTTAAGGTAAGTGTGTTGATGTAAACGTTTATAAATATGGGGCGGTGGGGTTGCCTAGTGGTTAAAGCGTTGGTTCGTCACGTCGAAGACCCGGGTTCGGATCCCCAAAAGGGTACAATGTGTGAAGCCCATTTCTGGTGTCCCCCGCCGTGATGTTGCTGGAATATTGCTAAAAGCGGCGTCAGTCAGTTAGCTTTATATATATTTTTCACGTTTAAAACGTAAACATATTTTGTGCAGTGTACGTACAAGGGCTGATGTGTAAAAATGTCTTCTTCATCTACAAACTAATTATGCCTTGGAAAACAACAACATTACATGTCCCCCATAAACCCAACTCCATATAAGAGTATTAAATCTGGCCCTAATAACCTAAGGTTTGTGATAAACCATAATAATAATTTGTCACGTTTAAGATGCGATCCTTATATCACGGAAAGTTACTACATGTGTTTCAGTTTTCTGCTTGTACACAAATGATGGATCAAAACTACAAACACATAAGCAGGGTTTTGGTGGTGCTAAAGTTTAAGGTCGATTTGGAACAGAAATTGGGTCTATTTGCGCCTAAATAAAATAGAAAATGAAACATTGAAACGATTTAAAAGCAATACATACATTTGCTTTAATGTTTCCACCAGACACCATTTGTCTCATATTTGCCTGATGCTGTAACGAACTGCAGTGTTGTCCTTTCAATTGAACGGTAAAGGATGTTGGGGCCCAATATTGCAGAAAGGGAAAATCTGAGACCAGATAATAGATTATATATAATTCCAATATATAATGTTGAACTGTTCCAAACTACGGACAATATGCCAAAATGTGTAACTTGAACATAATGTTATTCCGGAAATTAGTTGAATATCTAGGTTAAAGTTACATGGTTTGTATCTATATTTCACAGAGGACCCCAAACAATGCTTTGCTTGGACCATCCAAGGGAAAAGGAATGTGATAAGGAAAATGCCACTGGCGCTTCGTCTCATCTTGCTTCTACTGGAGTACACGTTGCAGTGATCATCGCAGTACTCACGTCCCTGTTGCTGTTATTCAACATATGATTACTACTTGCACTTATCATGAAAAGACAAACATTTTGAACATATAACTTTGCAGAATATTTTGATCAATTGTCGATCTGTTAAACTTGGAACACTATTGTTGGTGATTGCCATTATGGTATGTGACGATGCTGCTGTGTTCCTTCGACTGAACTGTTAGTATAACAAAATGTTAAAATGTACAGCTTGAAAATGCAAAATATTCATGTTAATTAATGTTTGCATGAGCGCAAATGGTTATAGTTTAATTTCATGCGAACAATTAAAATGTTCCTGGATGTAACGTTGGAAGATATACAATCTGATCCATTCACCAGACCCATGGTCTATGTTACAGTCAGTGTGCGAATATTGTTTCCAATTTGTTCTAGCCAGTCGGGCTAGTTATGCCTGAAAGTTACTAGCCCACAAAATAATAAACTAGCCCGAAATTTGAATGTAAAATCTAAGTCAGTGAGTGAGTTGGGTTTTACGCCGCTTTTAGCAATATTCCAGCAATATCTCGGTGGGGGACACCGGAAGTGGGCTTCACACAATGTGCCCATGTGGGGAATCGAACCCGGGTCTTCAGCGTAACGAGAGAACGCCTTAACCACTAGGCTACTCCACCACCCCTTACAAAATAATCAAAATATTACAATCGATAAGCTGCTAATATGATGAACATTTTCATCAGGCCATAATCTTGCATGATTAAAAAGTGTATTATAACTTAACAACTCGGAGATAGTAATATGTTCACAAAATGACAGCATGAAAATTCACTGGCCAGTCGGGCCAGTGACTGTGGAGATTTACTGGCCTGACTTGATTTTTACAAGCCACGGGCTAGCGGGCCCGTGGCTATTTCGCACACTCTTTACAGTCATAATCACTCATGGAATAGAAAAAGGCATGATGTTGCGACAGGTGACAAATTTAACTATTCCGCCAATGCCACTTTGTGACTGAGTGAGTAAGGTGGTATTTACGCCGTGTTAAGCATAATCCAGCAATATCACGGCAGAAATGACACATGTTCTTGTTTATCATCTAACGGAGAGTGTTATCGGTGCAATAAAGCAGTCTGATAAACTTGGTATCCAAATCTGATAACTATGCAAATTACGTCAATCCACGAACTACTTTCACAAAACTCCATACACGCCATGCGAATTCTAAAACGTTTAACATTTCATTAATGACGCCGTCGCGAGTTTACATTGCGTGGACGAGTTTGTAAACAAACATGGCTGCCCCCATTCTCAAAATTGGTGATTCTGTAAGAATTGATGACACAGGTTCTGGAGTCGTTACTTTGGAAAACATGAAACGGAAAACATGAAACTGAAGGTACGGATTATGAGGCACGATTGAAAGGAGAAAGAAAGGTATCAACCAAGGATTTCGATCTATCGATCACAATACAGATGACGAATCGATTCAGTCAGGTATCAGAAACTAATATTGATGAGGTGATTACCCGCATTGAAAATAGAAAAACTGCAAAGAAAACCCTGCTCGGCTGTGTTGTTCTTTTTTAGACAGAAAGATCTTATTTTAAGCATGAGTTATGTTTGCACTGTACTAGCGACCAGTCACAACTATATGCCGCCGTCATGAACGACCTTCACCTTGGTGTATTGCTAAGTATTCTTACGCCAATGGTCGATTCTCTTCATATAAATTCACGTCCGATTTGCCATGGTCCCTAGTATGGTGATCTACCTTCAGTTGTTGGCAATCTGTAGCCTGTTTTTATATTGTATTATCCAAATAGTGCTATTAGTTTTAACTTTCCACACTAGTTTTAGTTGTAATTGTGATATTCTAGTTGTTTTACTGTCCTTCGTCGACAGGTTGTTTATAATACACATATCTTCCATTTCAATGTCACATATGTTCTCGTCACGATATGGCTGAAATATTGCCGATGTGACGTTAAATAATAACTCACTCACTCACGTCCGATTTGCTTCTTTTTATGAGAGTAATTTTAAGAATGACGATATATGATAAAGAGAATATTAACCTCGTGTGTTACCGTATAAGCCTCGCATAATACATTTATTCCTAATATATGATATTAATGATACGGACACACACTCGGTCAATAATCTCTATTTATTGCAAATGTGAATGGTAGTATTATATGTACAACAAAACAAAGAAAACACACGATGCGATTTATAAGTGTTTTGAGCCCTTATTGGTTGTTTTCAACTATAGTACATTAAGGAACGATGATGACCAAAGACCTCCATGCGACTGCACATGTTTTGCGTGCTTGTTTGAAAACTCCAAAACGATGATAATATTTATGTTGCCTCAAATTTGGAAAATAAGTGTCCACATATATTCCATAAAATGTTTTCCAATTAATCTCAGGTTCCCTTTAAACATGCCGAAATGATGTTATTTACCCCATACGACAAAAATTCAAGTTTGGTTTCTAAACTTAGTAGCACTAATTCAACATCACTGCGTACATAGCTAGTACATTCCTGATAACTAATTATTTTAAAAACATCTTATGAACATCTACTGAATGCCAATCCGTTCAACACGTTTGGATGAAATTATACACCACATACGTCATAACTTCTGCGGGGCTGCTCAGCAACCTTAAATTTTTGTTATAATAGTCAGAGAAATGGACTCGGGTGTAAGGTGACATTGCTTATATTATTACCCATACGGAGTAGGATACACAGGTGATTATTTTTATGTGATAATCGCACATGTGCTATTCAGTGATTCTCAACGTTGATTGGTCAGCTAAGCAGAGAAGAAATGTGATTGGTTGACGGAACTACTTTTCATGATCCAAGTTCATTGACAACACACTCCGGCGCATTGATGACTTAGCATAACATCACTGCCACAGGCTAATTTGCATATCATGTGACCGGGCTTTTCTTTTGTTTGTAAACAAACGCACATATTCATAATAAGAAGAGACTGGCCTTACGCAAACTGTTGTTTAATCTTCAAACTTGTTGAGTTTCTTGACAGAAAACCTAACCTAGATGTATTCGTGGGATGGTTGTCTTTTAGATTTCCAAACTTTTAACCGTTGACTTTCCCCCAAATTGACAGGTTTTTGCCAAAGTGTTTTTCAACACTACACCGTCACCCGTCACTAGACACACGTCAGTTGTGAATGAACGATGTTCAGTCGCACTGACTTCATCAAATAACGTTTTAGCTGTTATTAAGTTCAATGGTATTTAAAACATCGTTTTTATCTTATTAACAAATGTTAAGAAATTATTTCATAAAATATATTTTTGTTGTGTTTTAAAGCGATTTTTCTAGGTACTATTTTCCATAGCGTAGTTATGTTATTACCGTTGGAGAAGTTTAATACGCGCATGAATACGAATCAGCTGTTTGAAGTAACAAGTCCTGTCTCCGGGTGGTTTTATTTCGTGGTTCTTCTTTTTGAATTACATTATGGGTAATAAATAGAATAACCAACTCGGTACGAGTGATTACGGGAAATATGCCCTCGTTAAAATAATGTTCAGTGATAGCAGATGCCTTGTTTTGTGAACATTGAATGGTTTAGAGGCCATGGGAAATTTGCAAAAACCTAGAAACATGCAATATTTGTATTTTACCACAACCTGTGACAATACACAACTGCACAGAAGGTGTCCTATATTGTTTTACACATGGACAAAGTACAAATTCCAGAGATAAGCCCAAGCAGGTCATAGGGCCTGAACCGAGCAACAGCAATGTAGCAGATGTCTGAGTCGAACTAACTGTGGATGGTCATCAGAATGCTGTTACAGACAAACTCACTGGCAGTGTTCCTAGCACTGGTCACATACCAGGTGTTAGCCGATGGTCAGTGTATGACCAAGGGAACAACTCCTGAAATACGGGATCTGGTGTTGGGGAGGTGTATCGACTACCAGACAAACATCAACCCTGGAGCTTTCTGTGTGAACGGGTAAGTTGGACTAGCAATTAACATTACATTACCTCTGAACCCCTTTACCCTGTATGAAAATATCTAATTTATACATTTGTATAACAGCCATAAAATGTCCGACTCCGACCATCTGTCCCGAGATCGGACGCCTTGTCCACAAGAACAAAGAGCTTAGACTGGGTGCCGTTGTATAAAACAACCTCAGAGTACCTTATCTCCCTAAGTTTTAACCTTAGGCGTTTGCTAAGGTTGACGTCCCGTTGCACGGATCTACCTTACGCTAAGGTAGCCTTAGTTAAGGTGAAAATTTAAGGTTGGTCCGACCCGACCTTAGTGTGTCTGAGGTTGACGTTTCAAGTACACGTGGCTACATTCTTGTTGAAGTGTGAGGAAACTGGTAGAAACGTTATTTGGTGTATGTTTTACTCGGAGGGTTGAATGTAAAAAATGACATAATATAATTAGTGATCACTGGTATGTGTTTGTCATCAAACCAATGGTAATTCTGAAACGTCCCCGATTAACCTAGAATCGGTTGTTTATGTTTTTAAGTTACCCACGTATACAACGAGCACCTAGTACATTAGAAGGGGGATGAAATAATGAATATTGACCTTGTTCGTATTTCTTTTATCGTCATCGAGGGTTGATGCCTGCAATCAGGGAAGTGCTTCAGGACCGTTAACTATCTCCAGGGTGCACGGCAACGTCGAGGATAGATAAGAGTAAGGTGCAAAGAGTATAGTTACAAGGACACCGTATGTGCAAAAGATAAAACCCGAATATGAAAAAAATCAGATTTGGGATTCGAATCCCGAATATGAAACAAAAATCAGATTCGGGTTTCGAATCCCGAATCTGACAAAAAATTCAGATTCGGGATTCGAATCCTGAATGTGAAAAAAATATTCAGATTCGGGATTCGAATTCCCAATCCCCAATCCGTTTCTAACTTCATGTTGCTGAATCGGTTGTGATGTTTTGGAAAACTCACGAACACGAACGCCGAAGTGAGGTGTTCGGGTAAGGGAAATGTAAACAAAGAAACATCCACTATTTACACTGTGTAGCATTTTGGTAAATTTTCAAACATCCATTCGTCTATTTGTTTGCATGCATTGGCTCAATACCTTTAGAATATGCATGAAAAGAGTATCGTAGCAAGGAATAGGAAATTTAAAAAAATGATACAATACAATGATTTCATCAATTCATACTAAATTGTCACAATCCTGCGTATAGATGTCATAAACTCGGCTATTTTGTGAGAAAACGGTTATCGGTAGTGATGTCATACGTCCACATTGTGATCCATATTTGGCAACTCCTTTGAGATGAAAGTTCGTTGAATAAGAGTTAACACAATTAGCCTTTCCCGCTGCTTACAACTTCCAGTATCATTATGTATATTTTGCGATTAGTTCCTATATCTTTTAAAGAAACTAATTTTATTATCTACGTTTACCCTTGTTCAATATCATATCATACAAGGACATAGACAATATGTTCGTTTGAAGAAATTGCCACATTTAGCGTAGTACCAACATTTTTAACCTTTACGCAAGTGTTAGAAGATGAAACGTAGGCGTAACTGTAACATGTACTTTAGTTCGTACGATGCGCAATATTTAGGAGATAAACATACTGTGTTGGAAAATCAGAGGTATATAACGAAATTATAACAGCTCTAAATAAATTTTTTTAGAGCTATTATAATTTCGTTATATACTTCTGATTTCCAACACAGTACGTTTATCTCCATTCTACCATGACCGCGTTATTAAGATTTTGCAAAAATACATACTGTGTTGGAAAATCAGAGGTATATAACGTGATTATTTACCTCTGAATGACTTTGATTAACCAATCACAATCCAGTATTTACTGAAATCATGGTAGAATCAGTATTAATTATCATTCCATATGTTAATGAACAGCGATTAAATTAAACCTTATAAATAATACTAACAATTAATGAAAATGATTGATATATTTTATGAACTGAATAGTCAAACATTTTTAAAGGAACTGTCTTGTTCACTGAATTTGTTAATGCCGTTTTATGGGCAAGCATTGATGTATAATGATTGGGCCAGGTGTGCGTTTATCATTAACGTTTTACGATTCACTCTCATTGTTGTAAATAATATTATTATCAATTTCTGTTCGAAAAATATAGTGATGGCTGTAACTATATTTCTACAAGAATTGTAAAAACATGAAATAAACTATGTCATGTCTTCCTTTGGAATAACCTTACGTTATTTTTGTGATAGTTCCATACAAAAAAAAACATATTTGCATCTTCATTGTATACTTATGAAGAGAAATAGCCACATTATCATAAACAAAGAAGAGCCTTATCCTAAAACGCACCATCGTGTGTATTGAAATATTCGTTTTAAAATTTGATGCCAAACAGGTGCGCGTGTTGTCCACATTAGGATACACGATCAAACCATCAACTGTTTATCTATTCGGGCGGGATATAACTCACAACCGTACCTCAACGGGCATTATTGAGTCTCCTGTACTGATGATTTCAACCTTAGTTATACCGCTAAGTATCCTTCCAGAGTTCAGGTTGACCAAAGGTAGCTTTGTTCTAAGGTTTTTGTTAAGGTTACCTTAATGTTAAACTTTGTCACTAAGTTGAACCTTAGTAAAGGTTGTTTGGTATAACGGCACCCTGGTCAACATGCTGACAAGATAAGGATGCCACCTGCATCCATGACGCCACGCCCTGCTGTAATATTCCCCGTCACACTGGTCATATACCATGGGCAGGTGTTAGCCAATGGTCAGTGTGTAACCAAGGGAACAATTCCTGAAATACGGAGCTGGTTGTAGGGCCAGACAAACATCAACCCTGGAGCTTTCTGTGTGAACGGGAAAGTTGAAGTCTCGTTCTTGCCACTTGATATAAAACCGTGAAATTTCGCGATGATGAATTAACGAGTACTTAAGATTTTACTCCGTTTTTAGCAAAGTTCCACCAATGCATTTATTTATTTGTTTGTCGTTTAACGCCGCACTCAACAACATTCCACCTGTATGATGGCAATCTGCGAATATTTGAGTCTTGAACAGACAATCCAGTGATCAAAAGAATGAGATAATTGGGAAATGATGACATGTATCAACCAAGTTAGCGAGCCTGATCACACGATCCCGTATGTATACAAGTATGTATCGTAGGTATTTCGGCGCAGGGTTTAATATTAATATATTCCTCTCTGGTTTAGGTAAATTGAATATATCTCTCTAAATAATTTCAATAGATATGAAATCACGCATGTTGACCATAATTATCATAGCCACCAACACAGGGTCATTTGCAGGTCAGCTTTCCTCTAATCATTTTAGACAATGGCCAGTGGGCCACTGGAAGCATGGCATTAATGGATGAGATGCAAGGATACTGCAGGCTGACCAGACATCTGTCACTTAGTACGACGCACGTAATATTCTGATCAGGATACGACCTATAGCGGGATAAATAGCGAATGCTTGCTGTAGAAGTCGGAGATTTGACCCTCAATGGACAACGGCTAAGGCAGGTGGGCTGACAATCGCCTCTGTGATGCTGCCTGGCCGTGGCTGCTACTATGATGTAGTTGCATATTTACACGCCGAATAAAGTGTTGTGGACCCTCAGGTGGACTTCAGGATTTGACAAGATGAGTTATTCCAAACAAAACAGCTGGGTTGCTGTTCATGACCTATTCTTACCCGGATCTCCAACGGGTCACTAACTGAAAAGAAACAAAACTTGCTGATGTGAAGTATTCCAAGCCACGAATTAGAACGATTTCATAGCTAAATAGGAATGACAGAGTCTTTATGGGTGATCAGCTTCTTTCTGTGCAATAACAGCGTTTCGAAATAAGAGACTTATATCGTTTTCATGAGGTGGCTAAATATCAAGGTTTTACTTTTCCAGGTATCTACACCCACAAACTGTTCTGCTCTGGCAGGATATGTTCATCTGCATTCGCCTGCCAACCTGCGTGTAATGTAAAGTTGCAGTCGCTATGATGACTTCTTCAAAGCAGCCAATATTGACGTTCACTCCCGGTCCGGTAGAAGTGGGAAACGAAAGCGGCACTTGATACTTTCCCTACGCTAGAAAAACAAATGTGATGAGACGGTGAATTGTTTAGAAAATAACCACTCACCCCCACCCCCACCCCTTAGTCTCTCCTGTTTGAGAATAATAACTATAGAAATCTATTATTAGGTTGGCGAAGACGTTGACGCTAGATGCCGGTAAATATTGCTTGGACTAGGACTGGTCGTAATTACGTAGACAAATCCTTTTTATATTACCATATTATTGGAAAGAAGCGTTAGACAATAAGTGATATAGATTAAATCTAAAATTTGCAGCAAAAAATAAATAAAATAACATTATAATTATCACGAAGACTCGAAAATTCACACTATCCGTAGTAGTCCATGTTGTATATTAACTAGAAGTGTTGACAGGTTCCATCTTTTTTCAACAGCAACTGCCATACTCATACCCTCACAGCGTTTGATTACAGAACTGTTGTTTCAGAGCATGTCGGTCTGTGGTGTGTACGGTGTCGTACATGTGTACAGCAACCGTGGACGAGAGAACGCAACAATTAGCGAAGATACCTCATAGGTAACTATACAGGCATCTTTGTATATTATAAGAATATATTGCATTAAGAAAGGAATTGTTCCAAACACAAAACCAAACAGCAGGTTCAGTAAAGAGGCCAGGCGTCGTATGTATGGTAAATAAGAACGTTGGTGGCTCGTCACGTATAACGCCACCTATATGACTGTGGTCTGTAAATTATCAGCCTGAATAAACGGTCTTGTGATGGAATCGTGACTCGTCACAAACCAACTTCAGAGACACAATGACATGCATCAACAAAGTCGATGACTCTGATGTCTACTGACATTGACTGCGCAGGGAATGAGCTTTCTTATAGCGAGTGAGTGAGTGAGTGAGTGAGTGCGATTAGTTTTTACGCCGCACT